CACACGGCCCACCACCGTCCCGGCCTTCGCTTCCTCCGGCACCGAGTACCGCACCTGCCCCCAGCACAGCGCCCACGCCGCCTGCACCGCCACCACCCGCAACACCGCACCCCACAAACACTCGCCCATCGCCGCCGCTGCCTTCCGACCCCGCACGGGCCCCGCACGGCTCCCGCCGCCGCCCGCACGCACCGGCTCCGCTGCCCGGCCCCAGCCGCCCCCCCGCGCTCACAGCCGGGCTCTCCGCCGCACCGCCAAGGAGCCGCCCACACGCCCTTCCTCAGCCTGCAGCGACACCGTGCGCTGCTCCGCCGCCTCACACGCTCCAAACAGCGCCCAAGCCTCTGCCCCGACACACGCATCTCCTCTCTCATGTCCCGCTCCCCTTCTTCTCTTTCTTTTTCTCATTTAGTTTTCCTTATCGCTTGCTGTTCCCTTCCAAACGTTTCATTTTTTCCTTCCTCCTTCTTCGTCTGACTTTCTTGTATTTCCTTGCTTCCTTTAGTTCTCTCTTTTTAGTCATGTCTCATTTCTCTTCTTATTCCTACTTCTTTCCCTTGGTACTCTTCTCTCTTTCCTCCTTCACTTTCTTCTTCGTCGTCATTATCCTGCCTCCTGTTCCCCATTCTTTATTCCATTTTCCCACCTCTTTCCATCCTCCTCTATTCATCAATCCCACTGGAAGCTCCTCACTTGCCTCCAGTGCCGCAGAGGACACCATCAAATCGGGCCATCATCTCTAAATACGGGGCATTAGAGCTGCAGTGCATTGGAGCCTTGTTGGGAACCACCTCCACTCAGCATCTACAGGTGACGTCGGTGAGTGATGGCCATTTCCTTTTTTAGTCTCCTTTGTTTTTCCATTCTGTTCTTCCTTTCTTTCTTACTTTAGTTCTGGCTTTATTTTTCCTTGAATAAGCTCCCGTCTTTCTTTATATTTTCTTATTTCCTTTCTGCATTACTTTTTTATCCATTCCGGTGTCTCTCTCTTCTCTTTCCCTGTTCTCTTTCCTTATGTCTTTTTTTCTCCTTAACCCTATCCTACGGTTTCCCCCCCTTCCTCTTATGTTTCCACCTTGTCTCTTCTCTTTTTGCCCGCTTTTCTAAAACATTTTCCAAGTGCTCACAATGAATAAGTCGATTGGGAATAGGTCTCCACCTTCTTTGCACTGATTTCTTCATATCCTTCCCTTTTTTCCCACCTTCTTTTCTCTTCTCCCTTTTGCTCTTCCTTTCTCTTTCTTTTCTTTCTTCCCTCACTGTGCCTTGTCGTTCTCTCCCCTCTCTTCTGCTTCCATCCTTCTATCTTCTGTTCAGCCTTTCCCTTAACAAAATATTTTTAAAATACCTAGAGCAATCCTGCCATAGGCATGGACATGTCCTTTCTTTGGCAACAGATCTCATTTCTCTTTCCTACCACCTTCCATCCCTCTGGAGAGAAAATACCTTTCTCGCTGATCTCCTGCTCCTGCACCTCTGTCTTCCCCTCCCTTCACCATCAAGGCCACACTCTTCAGCCTCCAGCCCTCTCAAGGACCCAGCAAGAACACACCAAGGCACTCAGATGGCAAACAACAGCTCTGCTACATCACAACACGTTCCACCACCCTCTCTCACACAACCTGAAGCCAGAGCGAATGAGATATCTCTGCAAACAGGCTGGAAAGGAACCAACACGCCCAGGGGAGTTTCTCATTCAGGAACTCAAACCCATCACAGCCCAGCACCACAATCCTCCACAAAGACTGAAAAAGCACTGGGCAAAACTGCTCCTCAGGGCTCTTCATGTACCTCGATCCTTCCTGACTCACTCTCCACCTGCAGGCTGTCCTTGCCTTCTTCTTCAGGCAGGCACTCCCTGCCACAACAACACACCAGAACCTCAGTATCTATGAGCATTAATGCCCAGGAAATCCCTCACTCATTAGCACGATCCACTTGTCACACAGTCAAACAAAAGCCGGGAAGGAAACACCACAGCACTGTCACTAAGAACATCCCCTTGACCCCCAACACATCTCTTTGGGGATTTTGGTCCCTCCTCCAGCCCTGCTGGCTCTCACCCACTCAGGCTGGGCCTGGAAGCAGCACAAAAGGTACCCGAGCAGGAAATGGTGCTTTGTTGACCCTATAGGATCAACACTGTGTTGACTCAACATAAAGATGCCACAACTGAACAGGAGCTAATGCACACCAGTCTCTCAAACACAGTCACTTTAGGTGTGTGACTTACCTGTAGCCTCACTGGTTCCTTCTTCAGAAAACAAACATCTTTGGGGGAGGGAAATAGATTTAAAAGGATGTTTGTAATTAACACTATCTGTTTCTGGGGAAGCTGGACAAAAGCAGTAACTCATGTTCCACAAAAGCTGGACACTGTGCAGTGCCCATTATGCATTTTTCTCACAGGGCAAGGAGGAAGCAGAGCTGTAAGCTACGGACATTCTCTCAAAGTGAAACTTAGCTCAGGACACACAACAGAACACACATCCCCCACACCGATGGGAAATGGCCCAAATGTCTGACACACTGCAACCAAGAGAGAGGAAATCAACCAACCAACCAACAAAACCACCAAAACAAACTCAAAGCTTTGGCAGTTTGGCACAAGAGAGGAGAAAAACAAAGGACCTGTTCGGCTGCAGTGAAACACAATTTTTTGGCAAAATCTTGAACACCAAGACCAATCCTTCCCCTGTCTATCAAAATTAAGTGCAGAGAGGTAATCAAGGAAAGGTTTAGAGAAGGTTTGGCAGCATGATCCAAATTTCAAAAAGCTTCTGTTTGACTAACAACATTCCACATCAAAACCAAGAAAGTAAGACAAACACAGCAGATGTCTTCACAAGCAGCAACACCAGAAACAACTGTACCCTGAGATACTCAGAACATCTGGAGGTCCTGACAGGATCCCAGGAGAGCAGCACTGTGTGCTGGGACCCTTCCTGAGGTATTCCATTATAATCTTCCATCTTGCACCCTGTGAACTGGGATCTCCACAGCTAAGCAGACATTCTCCTTTTCATCCCCAATGACCTTTCCACATCCTCACCTTCCCTCATCACTGGCACAAAGAACACTTGGAATGCTGCAAACCCACTCTGGGACTCTTTGACTCTTCCCACAGGACAGGATGCTTTCTGCCTTTGCAGCAATGTCAAATACAAATCGAGGGCTTAAAGGTTCTGTGATTAGAACTGTGAACAGCTCTGATCCCTGTCCCCACAGATCTTCTTCAAGAAGACCAAACCAAACGATGAAGCACAAGTGCAATCAAAGTGTCAACAGGGTAGAAGAATTTCTACCATAGAAATTTCTACAAAGCTGGGCTGCTCTGTAGATGTGGAGGTTTGGTGTGTACATCCAGACACCAGAATGAGCTGTGTGTGGTACAGGACACACCAGCTCTGCCCAGACTGACTGGCCAAGAGCACAAGTAGGGGAAGAACAGAGCACAGAGATGACACCCACCTCCTCAACTGCCCTTAAATATCCTCTCTGAAGAGGAGCACAGATCCACCATGGCAGCAGCTGTGGAAGCTGTTACAGGTGCCCTACAATACCCACACACAAAAGGCTGAAGTGCTTCCCTCCCACAACAGCTTTTTCAAAACGGCAGCAAAACTGTTCATCAGTCTGCATGTTCCCAACTCTTATCCAACACATTCCCTATGCCAGGCTGCAGCAGCACAGGGAACTGTCTCTAATAGGAAATATTCATAACTTCCTAGGACTTTGTGGTCATGTCAATACCACATACATTTTCAAGATCCAGAAGGCCTCCAACTCCACACCCTTGGAGACTGGGAAAAGATCCTGGGCAAAAACACTTTGTGCCCATTGTACCTCCCACTTTCCTCTAGACATCCTCCATTCCTCACCCTGCAACATGCAATTCTCCAGAAAAGACCATCATCTCCCAGTCCTCTCTTCTTATGACAGGGACCATGGTCTTCCCAAGGATTTCCAGTTCCCTCACACAAGTCTCCCCACTGCTCAAGGGCACCTTTCACATCAGCACATGCACAGGCCCTACTCACTGTCACTGCCACATTCACCTCTGGCACAAGTCACAATCTCCCACCTCAAGCCTCAACTTTTGCTTACCCTCCCCAGCAACTAAAACACTGTAAAACCCACACAGGTGGCATCCCATGCCCGGTGTCCATCAGACTCTCAGCAGCTGATCCTTCGGGTCAGCAGTTTCAGAGGGAAATGTCACACACCTGTGAGTAACACTCGCTGCAGAGCTCTGCTCGGGACAGCTCTCATGGCAACGGGCACTGATGTCATAATAATAGAGAGACAGAACAACCCAGATGCTGAGGAGCACAGCAATGCAGTCCATTCCATCCTCTGGGTAGGAGAAATTGGCTGAGGGATTATTGTGTCCTTGTTGAAAATAGGATTTCCACACAACTTGAAAGGGGAATGTAAATATTGATAAAAAAATTAAAACACATGAATGTGCTCCTCCTGTCCAGCCACAAACACAGTTTCAAAACTAAAGCTAAGAAAACAAGGGGAAAAAACCAAACAAAAAAACCTCAAAATCAATAACAAAGACCCCAAAACAAAACCTTCCCAGTTTTCATAAGGACACTACCAGGGCAACCAAAATGGAGAAATTACATTATGGAAATTGAAAATGCATTAAACCATAAGTCCAAACTGTCACCCTGCCTCACATCTTCTGTAGAGGAAAATGTCAGAAGATGAGGACAGAGAAGAAACCACATCTGATACCACCATGGTCAGCCAGGGCAATAAGGCAGCACACAGGGCCGGGGGGACTGTCACCAGCACAGCCTCCTTGGTTTGCCCTCCTTCACCAAGCTCGGCTAGAAACACTACACACCATCACGGCAGCAGCGTTGTCTGCAAAGTGACACCTCAGGGAACTTCCCGCGGCAAAGGGCAGTGATTTAAGTCCAGGGGAGAACAATTCATATCCACAGCAGCAAACCTCAGCGGCGGACCGTAGCCCCAAAGGCGTGTCGCTACACCTCTGCTTCTGGCAAGTCCTCCCCGCCCACCACCAAGAACCGGGGGACTCCGGCAAGGACGCGGAGGCAGATCAAAAGGTCCATTGATATCCTCAAGCGCCCGCCAAGTACCCACTGCCCTCGGGCCGCGGGAACTGAGCCCGGCTCCCGGCAACGCCGGCCCAGGAGGCGGGAGGGAAGGGGTAAAGGGAGGAGGGAATAAGTAGACAAGAGCAAGGGATTGTCACTGACCGTGTCGAGGAGAGAGGGAGGCTCCGGCTGCGTGTCCTTGGGCGCGGCGCCGGGCGGCGGCGGGAAGTTGGGGCTGAAAACCATCAGGTCGCTCTTGGCCGCGCCGTCCGCCACGCACAGGCTCCGGCTGTGGCGCTGCGAGTACGACCAGCTGCCCACTTCGCTGGCGCACACCAGCGTCGTGGGCCCGGGCCCCGACAGCACGGCCGCCCGCGGCGCCCAGCGCGACGCCCCGTACAGCACCACGGCCAGCAGGAACAGGCTCGACACGCCGCAGATCGCCACCACCAGCCACACGTTCGTCGCCGCCGCCGCCGCCGCCGCCGGCCCAGAGCCGCTCTCGCCGCCCGCCAACGAGCGCGGCAGCAGCGACGACCAGCTCTCGCCGCCCGCAGCACCACGAGCGCGGCAGCAGATCAACGAGCCTCCCGCCGGAGCCGATCCGCCAGCGCCGCCTCCCCGCCCTCCACCAGCGACACGCTCAGCGTCGCCGTGGCCGAGCGCGCCGGCTCGCCGTGGTCCCGCACCACGATCACCAGCCTCTGCCGCGGCCCGTCCGCCTCCTCCAGCGCCCGCGCCGTGCTCACCTCGCCGCTGTACAGCCCCACGCGGAACAAGGCGCTCTTGCCCCGCGGCTCCCACAGCTCGTAGCGCAGCCACGCGTTGTAGCCCGAGTCCGCGTCCACCGCCCGGATCTTCGCCACCACCTGACCCGACGGCGAACCCCACGACGCCCACGCCCACAGCGTCCCCGCCTCCCCCGACACGGACCCGGCCTCCGACCCGCCGCCCGCCGCCGGCAGCAGCGCCGGCGCGTTGTCGTTCTCGTCCACCACGAACAGCTGCACCGTCGCGTTGCCGCACAGCGACGGCTCCCCCGCGTCCACCGCACGCACCTCGAACTGCAGCACCTGCACCTCCTCGTAGTCCAGCGGCTGCAGCGCCCGCAACACGCCGCTCTCCGCCTCCACCGACACGTAGCTCGACGCCGCAACACCCCCCACCGACCCCGACCCCGACCCCCACGACCCCGACCCCCCGCCCAACGCGCCCTCCCACAACGAGTAGCTCACGCGCCCGTTGCCCGCCTCGTCCGGGTCCCGCGCCCACAGCCGCGCCAGCTCCGCGCCCGCCAAGTTGTTCTCCCGCGCCAGCACCGTGTACACCGCCTGCGCGAACGACGGCGCGTTGTCGTTCACGTCCGACACCGGCACACGCAGCCCAACGCGGCCGCCCAGCGACGGAGAACCGCCGTCCTCCGCACGCACCTCCACCTCGTACTCCGACACCCGCTCCCGGTCCAGCAACTCCCGCAGCACCAGCGAGTACGACCCCGACAACGTCGCCTCCAGAACGAACGGACCCGACGGCCACACCCAGCACCGCACACGACCGTTCGACCCCGAGTCCCGGTCCCACACGCTCAGCAGGGCCACCACCGTCCCCAGCGACGCGTCCTCCGACACCGGCACCGACAGCGACGTCACCCGCACCTCCGGCGCGTTGTCGTTCACGTCCAGCACCTCCAGCACCACCTTGCAGTGACCCGATAGAGGTGGCATTCCCTTATCTATCGCCTTAACGTGTAGGTTATAAATCTTAAGTGTCTCATAGTCCAGGGCATCCATCAGTCTGATTTCTCCACTATTTGCACCAATGCTGAAAATATCTGCGGCTGTGGATGGAACTACAGAATCAATTTCATAAATTACTTCTCCATAAATTCCCAGGTCTGGATCCGTAGCATTCACACGAGCCACTAGTTTCCCCACTGTGGCGTCCTCGGGCAAAACTACTTTGTAAACCGACTGGTTAAACTGGGGCGCGTTGTCATTCACGTCAAGCACCGAGATCACCAGTTCCATCGTCCCTGTCAGAGACGGCCGGCCCCCGTCACTCGCCGTCAGCAATAACCGGTGAACGGGAGTCGTCTCCCGGTCCAGTGGTTTCGTGAGCACCAGAAAGAGGGACTTGCTGGATGAGTCAATGTTTTCTTCCTCTATTCTGAAATGCTCGCTGGGGCTCAGTGTGTAGGAGAGCTGCGCGTTCGCTCCGATATCCGCATCCGACGCGCCCTCCAGTGGGAAACGAGACCCAGGGAGAGTAGTAAATTCTGCGATGCTGATATTTTTTCGGGTGGCGGGGAAGATGGGGGCATTGTCATTAATGTCGGTGACCTCCAGCTCCACGTGGAAGACGCGCAGCGGCCGCTCCAGCAGCACCTCCAGCCGCAGCGCGCACGGCGCGCTCTTGCCGCACAGCTCCTCCCGGTCCAGCCGCGAGCTCACCACCAGCGCCCCGCTCGCCCCGCTCACCTCCACGCTCGCCCGCCGGCCCCCAGGCACCAGCCGCAGCCGCCGCGCCTCCGCCTCGCCCGCCTCCAGACCCAGGTCCTGCGCCACACGGCCCACCACCGTCCCGGCCTTCGCTTCCTCCGGCACCGAGTACCGCACCTGCCCCCAGCACAGCGCCCACGCCGCCTGCACCGCCACCACCCGCAACACCGCACCCCACAAACACTCGCCCATCGCCGCCGCACACGACCAGTCCTTCCGACCCCGCACGGGCCCCGCACGGCTCCCGCCGCCGCCCGCACGCACCGGCTCCGCTGCCCGGCCCCAGCCGCCCCCCCGCGCTCACAGCCGGGCTCTCCGCCGCACCGCCAAGGAGCCGCCCACACGCCCTTCCTCAGCCTGCAGCGACACCGTGCGCTGCTCCGCCGCCTCACACGCTCCCACACAGCGCCCAAGCCTCTGCCTGACACACGCATCTCCTCTGACATGTCCCGCTCCCCTTCTCTTTCTTTTTCTCAGTCATTTTTCCTTATCGCTAGCTGTTCCCTTCCAAAAAATCCTTCATTTTTTCCTTCTTCGTCTTTCTTCTTTTTTCTTGCTACCTTCAGTTCTCTATTTTTTATCCTGTCTCCTTTCCCTTCTTATTTCTACTTTTCCCCTTAATACTCTTTTCTTTCCTCCTTCTCTTTCTTCTCTTCTTTCCTTTTTTTCTTTTTCTTCGTCATTGCGCTGCCGTTCCCCATTCTTTACACCTTTTTCCCATTGCTTTTCATCCTCCTCTATTCATTAACTTCGCTGGAAGCTCCTCAGTTACCTCCAGTCCGTAGAGGAGATCATCAAATCGGAGCCATCATCTCTAAATACAGGGCATTAGAACCGCCGCACATCGGAGCCTTGTTGGGAACCACCTCCACTCAGAATCTACAGGTAATGTCGGTGAGTGATGGTCATTTCCTTTTTTAGTCTCCTTTATTATTCCATTCCGTTCTTCCTTTCTTTCTTGCTTTCGTTCTGGCTTTATTTTTCCTTAAATAAGCTCCCATCTTTCTTTATATTTTCTTATTTCCTTTTTGCATTCCTTTTTTATCCATTCCGGTGTCTCTCTCTTCTCTTTCCCTGTTCTCTTTCCTTATGTCTTTTTTTCTCCTTAACCCTATCCTGCGGTTTCCCCCCCTTCCTCTTATGTTTCCACCTTGTCTCTTCTCTTTTTGCCCGCTTTTCTAAAACATTTTCCAAGTGCTCACAATGAATAAGTCGATTGGGAATAGGTCTCCACCTTCTTTGCACTGATTTCTTCATATCCTTCCCTTTTTTCTCACCTTCTTTTCTCTTCTCCCTTTTGCTCTTCCTTTCTCTTTCTTTTCTTTCTTCCCTCACTGTGCCTTGTCGTTGTCTCCCCTCTCTTCTGCTTCCATCCTTGTATCTTCTGTTCAGCCTTTACCTTAACAAAATATTTTTAAAATACCTACAGCAATCCTACCATAGGCATGGACATGTCCTTTCTTTGGCAACAGATCTCATTTCTCTTTCCTACCACCTTCCATCCCTCTGGAGAGAAAATACCTTTCTCGCTGATCTCCTGCTCCTGCACCTCTGTCTTCCCCTCCCTTCACCATCAAGGCCACACTCTTCAGCCTCCAGCCCTCTCAAGGACCCAGCAAGAACACACCAAGGCACTCAGATGGCAAACAACAGCTCTGCTACATCACAACACGTTCCACCACCCTCTCTCACACAACCTGAAGCCAGAGCGAATGAGATATCTCTGCAAACAGGCTGGAAAGGAACCAACACGCCCAGGGGAGTTTCTCATTCAGGAACTCAAACCCATCACAGCCCAGCACCACAATCCTCCACAAAGACTGAAAAAGCACTGGGCAAAACTGCTCCTCAGGGCTCTTCATGTACCTCGATCCTTCCTGACTCACTCTCCACCTGCAGGCTGTCCTTGCCTTCTTCTTCAGGCAGGCACTCCCTGCCACAACAACACACCAGAACCTCAGTATCTATGAGCATTAATGCCCAGGAAATCCCTCACTCATCAGCACGATCCACTTGTCACACAGTCAGACAAAAGCCGGGAAGGAAACACCACAGCACTGTCACTAAGAACATCCCCTTGACCCCAACACATCTCTTTGGGGAAAGGGATTTTGGTCCCTCCTCCAGCCCTGCTGGCTCTCACCCACTCAGGCTGGGCCTGGAAGCAGCACAAAAGGTACCCGAGCAGGAAATGGTGCTTTGTTGGTCCCATAGGATCAACACTGTGTTGACTCAACATAAAGATGCCACAACTGAACAGGAGCTAATGCACACCAGTCTCTCCAACACACCCATTTCAAGTGTGCAACTTACCTGCAGCGCCACCGGTTCCTTCTTCCAAAAACAAATATTTTCGGGGGAGGGAAATAGATTTAAAAGGATATTTGTAATTAACATTATCAGTTCCTGGGGAAGCTGGACAAAAGCAGTTACTCATGTTCCTCACAAACTGGAGAGTGTACAGTGCCCTTATGTATTTTTCTCACAGGGGAAGGAGGAAGCAGAGCTGTAAGCTACGGACATTCTCTCAAAGTGAAACTTAGCTCAGGACACACAACAGAACACACATCCCCCACACCGATGGGAAATGGCCCAAATGTCTGACACACTGCCACTGAGAGAGGAAATCAACCAACCAACCAACAAAACCACCAAAACAAACTCAAAGCTTTGGCAGTTTGGCACAAGAGAGGAGAAAAACAAAGGACCTGTTCGGCTGCAGTGAAACACAATTTTTTGGCAAAATCTTGAACACCAAGACCAATCCTTCCCCTGCCTATCAATATTAAGAGCAGAGAGGTAATCAAGGAAAGGTTTAGAAAAGGCTTGACAGCATGATCCAAATTTCAAAGAGCTTCTGTTTGACCAACAACATTCCACATCAAAACCAAGAAAGTAAGACACACACAGCAGATGTTTTACAAGCAGCAACACCAGAAACAACTGTACCCTGAGATACTCAGAACATCTGGAGGTCCTGACAGGATCCCAGGAGAGCAGCACTGTGTGCTGGGACCCTTCCTGAGGTATTCCATTATAATCTTCCATCTTGCACCCTGCGAACTGGGATCTCCACAGCTAAGCAGACATTCTCCTTTTCATCCCCAATGACCTTTCCACATCCTCACCTTCTCTCATGACTGGCACAAAGAATACATGGAATGCTGCAAACCCACTCTGGGACTCTTTGACTCTTCCCACATGCCAGGATGCTTTCTGCCTTTGCAGCAATGTCAAATACAATTCGAGTGCTTAAATATTCTGTGATTAGAGGCGTGAACAGCTCTGACCAATGTCCCCACAGATTGTCTTCTTCAAGAAGACCAAACCAAACAATGAAGCACAAGTGCAATCAAAGTGTCAGTGGGGTAGAAGAATTTCTACCACAGAAATTTCTACAAAGCTGGGCTGCTCTGTAGATGTGGAGGTTTGGTGTGTACATCCAGACACCAGAATGAGCTGTGTGTGGTAACAGGACACACCAGCTCTGCCCAGACTGACTGGCCAAGAGCACAAGTAGGGAAGAACAGAGCACAGAGATGACACTCATCTCCTCAACTGCCCTTAAATATCCTCTATGAAGAGGAGCACAGAGGCAACATCTGGGGAAGCTGTTACAGGTGTCTTACAATACACACAGACCGCAGGTTGAAGTGCTTCCCTCCCACAACAACATCCCCAAAACGGTGCAAAAATGGTCATCAGTTTGCATGTTCCGAATTCTTATCCAACACATTCCCTATGCCAGGCTGCAGCAGCACAGGGAACCGTCTCTGATAGGAAATATTCATAACTTCCTAGGACTTTGTGGCCATTTCAATACCACATACATTTTCAAGATCCAGAAGGCCTCCAACTCCACAACCTTGACACTTGAGAAAAGATCCTGGGCAAAACCACTTTATGCCCATCCTGCTTCCCACTTTCCTCTAGGCATCATCCTCCATTCCTCACTCTGCAACATTTATTCTCCAGAAAAGACCATCATCTCCCAGTCCCCTCTTCTTATGACAGGGACCATGGTCTTCCCAAGGATTTCCAGTTCCCTCGTGTACACAAGTCTTCCCACTGCTCAAGGGCACCTTTCACATCAGCACATGCACAGGCCCTACTCACTGTCACTGCCACATTCACCTCTGGCACAAGTCACAATCTCCCACCTCAAGCCTCAACTTTTGCTTACCCTCCCCAGCAACTAAAACACTGTAAAACCCACACAGGTGGCATCCCATGCCCGGTGTCCATCAGACTCTCAGCAGCTGATCCTTCGGGTCAGCAGTTTCAGAGGGAAATGTCACACACCTGTGAGTAACACTCGCTGCAGAGCTCTGCTCGGGACAGCTCTCATGGCAACGGGCACTGATGTCATAATAATAGAGAGACAGAACAACCCAGATGCTGAGGAGCACAGCAATGCAGTCCATTCCATCCCCTGGGTAGGAGAAATTGGCTGAGGGATTATTGTGTTCTTGTGGAAAACAGAATTTCCGTGGAAGCTGTAAGGGTGCTGCTAATGTAAATATTGATAAAAATATCAAAACAAGTGAGTGTACACCAAGCCTCCTGTCCAGCCACAAACGCAGTTTCAAAACTACAGCTCACAAAAACGGGGGGAAAATAAACAGCCATGAAACCAATAATGAAGACACCAAACAAACTAAAACCCCAGGAAATCTCCAGAACCCCTTCCCAGTTTTCAAAATTACACGACTGGGAAAACCAAAATGGAGAAATTACATTATGGAGATTGAAAATACGTTAAACCACAGTCCAAACTGTCACCCTACCGCACATGTCAAGTAGAGGAGAATGTCAGAAGATGAGGACAGAAAAAAAGCCACATGTGATACCACCACGGTCAGCAGTCAGCAAAGGCAATAAGGAAGAAGGCAGTACATAGGGCCTGGGGACTGACACCACCACAGCCTGTCCTGCACACCAAGCTCGGGTGCAAATGCTACACATCAGCAAGCTTTGTCTCCAAAACTCAAACGTCGAGGCAACACAGGTCAACTCTCATCACAATCAGCAGCGATTTCATTCTATGGAAGAACAAATCATATCCACAGCAGCAAATCTCTGCTGCGAACCCCAAGGAGTTACCGCGATACCTCTATCGGATACAGATGAAAAGGTACAATTAACATATTTAAGCACCTGTAAAGCAACCACTTCCACAAGCCAGGGGCGCGGAGCCCGGAGACCGACAGGGCCGTCCCTGGGGGCGGGAGAGAAGGGGCAGAGGGAGGAGGGAACAAGTAGACGAGAGCAAGGGATTGTCACTGACCGTGTCGAGGAGAGAGGGAGGCTCCGGCTGCGTGTCCTTGGGCGCGGCGCCGGGCGGCGGCGGGAAGTTGGGGCTGAAAACCATCAGGTCGCTCTTGGCCGCGCCGTCCGCCACGCACAGGCTCCGGCTGTGGCGCTGCGAGTACGACCAGCTGCCCACTTCGCTGGCGCACACCAGCGTCGTGGGCCCGGGCCCCGACAGCACGGCCGCCCGCGGCGCCCAGCGCGACGCCCCGTACAGCACCACGGCCAGCAGGAACAGGCTCGACACGCCGCAGATCGCCACCACCAGCCACACGTTCGTCGTCGCCGCCGCCGCCGCCGCCGCCGGCCCAGAGCCGCTCTCGCCGCCCGCCAACGAGCGCGGCAGCAGCGACGACGAGCCCGCCGCCGCCGCCAGCGCCGCCTCGCCGCCCTCCACCAGCGACACGCTCAGCGTCGCCGTGGCCGAGCGCGCCGGCTCGCCGTGGTCCCGCACCACGATCACCAGCCTCTGCCGCGGCCCGTCCGCCTCCTCCAGCGCCCGCGCCGTGCTCACCTCGCCGCTGTACAGCCCCACGCGGAACAAGGCGCTCTTGCCCCGCGGCTCCCACAGCTCGTAGCGCAGCCACGCGTTGTAGCCCGAGTCCGCGTCCACCGCCCGGATCTTCGCCACCACCTGACCCGACGGCGAACCCCACGACGCCCACGCCCACAGCGTCCCCGCCTCCCCCGACACGGACCCGGCCTCCGACCCGCCGCCCGCCGCCGGCAGCAGCGCCGGCGCGTTGTCGTTCTCGTCCACCACGAACAGCTGCACCGTCGCGTTGCCGCACAGCGACGGCTCCCCCGCGTCCACCGCACGCACCTCGAACTGCAGCACCTGCACCTCCTCGTAGTCCAGCGGCTGCAGCGCCCGCAACACGCCGCTCTCCGCCTCCACCGACACGTAGCTCGACGCCGCAACACCCCCCACCGACCCCGACGTCCCCGACCCCCACGACCCCGGCCCCCCGCCCAACGCGCCCTCCCACAACGAGTAGCTCACGCGCCCGTTGCCCGCCTCGTCCGGGTCCCGCGCCCACAGCCGCGCCAGCTCCGCGCCCGCCAAGTTGTTCTCCCGCGCCAGCACCGTGTACACCGCCTGCGCGAACGACGGCGCGTTGTCGTTCACGTCCGACACCGGCACACGCAGCCCAACGCGGCCGCCCAGCGACGGAGAACCGCCGTCCTCCGCACGCACCTCCACCTCGTACTCCGACACCCGCTCCCGGTCCAGCAACTCCCGCAGCACCAGCGAGTACGACCCCGACAACGTCGCCTCCAGAACGAACGGACCCGACGGCCACACCCAGCACCGCACACGACCGTTCGACCCCGAGTCCCGGTCCCACACGCTCAGCAGGGCCACCACCGTCCCCAGCGACGCGTCCTCCGACACCGGCACCGACAGCGACGTCACCCGCACCTCCGGCGCGTTGTCGTTCACGTCCAGCACCTCCAGCAACACCTTGCAGTGACCCGACAGCGGGGGTGTCCCCCTATCTGTTGCTTTAACGTGTACATCGTATAAAGTAACTGTCTCAAAGTCCAGGGCTCCCATCAGTCTGATCTCACCACTCTTGGCATCGATGCTGAAAATATCTGAGGCAGAGGGAGGAACAACAGTATCGATTTCATATTTCACTTCTCTATTGCTTCCCTCGTCTGGATCTGTAGCGTTCAGTCGTGCCACTAGCGTCCCCTCTACTGCGTCCTCGGGCAAATGTACATTATACACGGATTGGTTGAACTGTGGCGCGTTGTCGTTCACATCCAGAACTGAAACTACAAGTTCCATCGTCCCTGTCAGAGACGGCCGGCCCCCGTCACTCGCCGTCAGCAACAACCGGTGAACAGGCATGGACTCCCGGTCCAGAGATTTCGTGAGCACCAGAAACAGGGACTTACTGCGCGAGTTACTGTTTTCTTCTTCTACTCTGAAATGCTCGCTGGGGCTGAGTGTGTAGGAGAGCTGAGCGTTCACTCCGATATCCGCATCTGACGCGCCCTCCAGAGGAAACCGGGACCCAGGGAGAGTAGTAAATTCCGCAATGGTGATGTTTTTTCGGGCGGCGGGGAAGATGGGGGCATTGTCATTAATGTCGGTGACCTCCAGCTCCACGTGGAAGACGCGCAGCGGCCGCTCCAGCAGCACCTCCAGCCGCAGCGCGCACGGCGCGCTCTTGCCGCACAGCTCCTCCCGGTCCAGCCGCGAGCTCACCACCAGCGCCCCGCTCGCCCCGCTCACCTCCACGCTCGCCCGCCGGCCCCCAGGCACCAGCCGCAGCCGCCGCGCCTCCGCCTCGCCCGCCTCCCGACCCAGGTCCTGCGCCACACGGCCCACCACCGTCCCGGCCTTCGCTTCCTCCGGCACCGAGTACCGCACCTGCCCCCAGCACAGCGCCCACGCCGCCTGCACCGCCACCACCCGCAACACCGCACCCCACAAACACTCGCCCATCGCCGACGCCGCCTTCCGACCCCGCACGGGCCCCGCACGGCTCCCGCCGCCGCCCGCACGCACCGGCTCCGCTGCCCGGCCCCAGCCGCCCCCCCGCGCTCACAGCCGGGCTCTCCGCCGCACCGCCAAGGAGCCGCCCACACGCCCTTCCTCAGCCTGCAGCGACACCGTGCGCTGCTCCGCCGCCTCACACGCTCCCAAACAGCGCCCAAGCCTCTGCCCCGACACACGCATCTCCTCTCTCATGTCCCGCTCCCCTTCTTCTCTTTCTTTTTCTCAGTCATTTTTCCTTATCGCTTGCTGTTCCCTTCCAAACCTTTCATTTTTCTTCGTCTTTCTTTTTTCTTGCTTCCTTCACTTCTCTCTTTTTTATCACGTCTCCTTTCCCTTCTTGTTTCTTCTTTTTTCCTTAGTACTCTTCTCTCTTTCCTCCTTCACTTTCTTCTTCTTCTTTTTTTTCTTCTTCGTCACTGCCGTTCCCCATTCTTTACACGTTTTTCCCATCTCTTTCCATCTTCCTCTATTCATCAACCCCACTGGAAGCTCCTCACTTGCCTCCAGTGCCGCAGAGGACACCATCAAATTGGAGCCATCATCTCTAAATACTGGGTATTAGAGCCGCAGTGCATTGGAGCCTTGTTGAGTACCACCTCCACTCAGCATCTACAGGTAATGTCGGTGAGAGCCGGTCATTTCTTTTTTAGTCTCCTTTGTGTTTCCATTCTGTTCTTCCTTTCTTTCTTACTTTCATTCTGGCTTTATTTTTCCTTGAACAAGCTCACGTCTTTCTTTATATTTTCTTCTTATTTCCTTTTTGTATTCCTGGTTTTACCTTCCCTTGACTCTCTTTCCTTTCTCTTTCTTTGTTCTCTTTCCCTATATCTTTCCTGTTTATCCCTATGTTTTTTCACCCTCCTCTTCTGTTTCCACCTTGTCTCTTCTCTTTTTTCCCCGACTTGATTTCCAAGCGCTCTCATTCTTCTTTGCACTGATTCCTTCAAGCCCTTCTTTTTTATTTACCTCCTTCTTTCTACTTTCTTCCTCTTCTCCCTTTTGCTCTTCCTTTCTCTTTCTTTTCTTTCTTCCCTCACTGTGCCTTGTCGTTGCCTCCCTTCTCTTCTGCTTCCATCCTTGTATCTTCTGTTCAGACTTTCCCTTAACAAAATATTTTTAAAATACCGAGAGCAATCCTACCACAGGCATGGACATGTCCTTTCTTTGGCAACAGATCTCATTTATCTTCCCTACCACCTCCCATCCCTCTGGCTAAGGAATACCTTTCTCACTGACCTCCTGCCATGCACCTCTATCTTCCCCTCCCTTCACCATCAAGGCCACACTCTTCAGCCTCCAGCCCTCTCAAGGACCCAGCAAGAACACACCAAGGCACTCAGATGGCAAACAACAGCTCTGCTACATCACAACACCTTCCACCACCCTCTCTCACACAGCCTGAAGCCAGAGCTACTGAGACATCTCTGCAAACAGGCTTGAAAGAACCAACACACCCAGGGGAGTTTCTCATTCAGGAACTCAAACCCATCACAGCCCAGCACCACAATCCTCCACAAAGACTGAAAAAGCACTGGGCAAAACTGCTCCTCAGGGCTCTTCATGTACCTCGATCCTTCCTGACTCACTCTCCACCTGCAGGCTGTCCTTGCCTTCTTCTTCAGGCAGGCACTCCCTGCCACAGCAACACACCAGAACCTCAGTATCTATGAGCATTAATGCCCAGGAAATCCCTCACTCATCAGCACGATCCACTTGTCACACAGTCAGACAAAAGCCGGGAAGGAAACACCACAGCACTGTCACTAAGAACATCCCCTTGACCCCCAACACATCTCTTCGGGGAAAGGGATTTTGGTCCCTCCTCCAGCCCTGCTGGCTCTCACCCACTCAGGCTGGGCCTGGAAGCAGCACAAAAGGTACCCGAGCAGGAAATGGTGCTTTGTTGGTCCCATAGGATCAACACTGTTGGATTCAACATAAAGATGCCACAACTGAACAGGAGCTAATGCACACCAGTCTCTCAAACACACTCATTTTAGATGTGTGAGTTACCTCTACCATCACTGGTTCCTTCTTCAGAAAACAAACATCTTCGGAGGAGGGAAAGAGATTTAAAAGCATATTTGCCCTTAACATTATCAGTTCCTGGGGAAGCTGGACAAAAGCAATTACACATGTCCCACAAAAGCTGGACAGTGTGCAGTGCCCTTGTGTATTTTTCTCACAGGGGAAGGAGGAAGCAGAGCTGTAAGCTACGGACATTCTCTCAAAGTGAAATTTAGCTCAGGACAACAGAACACATATCCCCCACACCGATGGGAAATGGCCCAAATATCTGACACACTGTCACTGAGAGAGAGGAAATCAACCAACCAACCAACAAAACCACCAAAACAAACTCAAAGGTTTGGCAGTTTGACAGAGGAGAGAAGAAAAACAAAAGGTCCCGTTTGGCTGCAGTGAAACACAATTTTTTGGCAAAATCTTGAACACCAAGACCAATACTTTCCCTGTCTATCAAGTGCAGAGAGGTAATCAAGGAAAGGTTTAGAGAAGGCTTGGCAGCATGATCCAAATTTCAAAAAGCTTCTGTTTGACCAACAACATTCCACATCAAAACCAAGAAAGTAAGACAAACACAGCTGATGTCTTCACAAGCAGCAACACCAGAAACAACAACTGTGCCCTGAGATACTCAGAACATCTGGAGGTCCTGACAGGATCCCAGGAGAGCAGCACTGTGTGCTGGGACCCTTCCTGAGGTATTCCATTATAATCTTCCATCTTGCACCCTGTGAACTGGGATCTCCACAGCTAAGCAGACATTCTCCTTTTCATCCCCAGTGACCTTTCCACATCCTCACCTTCCCTCATAACTGGCACAAAGAACACTTGGAATGCCACAAATCCACTCTGGGACTCTTTCACTCTTCCCACATGACAGGATGCTTTCTGCCTTTGCAGCAATGTCAAATACAATTCGAGCGCTTAAAGGTTCTGTGATTAGAGTTGTGAATAGTTCTGATCCCAGTCCCCACAGATCCTCTTCAAGAAAACCAAGCCAAAAGCAGAAGCACAAGTGGAAGCATTTCTACAGTAGAAAACCAGAGGTGGGCAGCTCTGTAGATGTGGAGGTTTGGTGTGTACATCCAGACACCAGAATGAGCTGTGTGTGGTAACAGGACACACCAGCTCTACCCAGACTGACTGGCCAAGAGCACAAGTAGGGGAAGAACAGAGCAGAGAGATGACACCCACCTCCTCAACTGCCCTTAAATATCCTCTCTGAAGAGGAGCACAGAGGCAACAGCTGTGGAAGCTGTTACAGGTGCCCTACAATACACACACAGCAGGTTGAAATGCCTCCCTCCCACAACAACTTCCCCAAAACGGCGCAAAAATGTTCATCAGTCTGCATGTTCCCAACTCTTATCCAACACATTCCCTATGCCAGGCTGCAGCAGCACAGGGAACTGTATATGACAGGAAATATTCATAACCTCAAAGGCCTTCATGGCCATTTCAAGGCCCTATACTATCTCAAGATCCAGAAGGCCTCCAACTCCACACCCTTGGAGACTGGGAAAAGATCCTGGGCAAAAACACTTTGTGCCCATTGTACCTCCCACTTCCCTCTAGACATCCTCCATTCCACACCCTGCAACATTTATTCTCCAGAAAAGACCATCATCTCCCAGTCCCCTCTTCTTATGACAGGGACCATGGTCTTCCCAAGGATTTCCAGTTCCCTCGTGTACACAAGTCTTCCCACTGCTCAAGGGCACCTTTCACATCAGCACATGCACAGGCCCTACTCACTGTCACTGCCACATTCACCTCTGGCACAAGTCACAATTTCCCACCTCAGGGCTCAGCTTTTGCTTACCCTCCCCAGCAACTGCAGCACTGTAAAAGCCACACAGGTGGCATCCCATGCCCGGTGTCCATCAGACTCTCTGCAGCTGATCCTTCGGGTCAGCAGTTTCAGAGGGAAATGTCACACACCTGTGAGTAACACTCGCTGCAGAGCTCTGCTCGGGACAGCTCTCATGGCAACAGCCACTGATGTCACAATAATAGAGACAGAACAACCCAGATGCTGAGGAGCACAGCAGTGGAGTCCATTCCATCCCCTGGGTAGGAGAAATTGGCTGAGGGATTATTGTGTTCTTGTGGAAAACAGAATTTCCATGGAAGCTGTAAGGGTGCTGCTAATGTAAATATTGATAAAAATATCAAAACAAGTGAGTGTACACCAAGCCTCCTGTCCAGCCACAAATGCAGTTTCAAAACTACAGCACACAAAAAAGGGGAAAAAAATAAACAGCCATGAAACCAATAATGAAGACACCAAACAAACAAAAACCCCAGGAAATCTCCACAGTCCCTTCCCAGTTTTCAAAATGACACGACTGGGAAAACCAAAATGGAGAAATTACATTATGGAGATTGAAAATACGTTAAACCACAGTCCAAACTGTCACCCTACCGCACATGTCAAGTAGAGGAGAATGTCAGAAGATGAGGAGAGAAAAAAACCGACATGTGATACCACCACGGTCAGCAGTCAGCAAAGGCAATAAGGAAGAAGGCAGTACATAGGGCCTGGGGACTGACACCACCACAGCCTGTCCTGCACACCAAGCTCGGGTGCAAATGCTACACATCAGCAAGTTCTGTCTCCAAAACTCAAACGTCGAGGCAACACAGGTCAACTCTCATCACAATCAGCAGCGATTTCATTCTATGGAAGAACAAATCATATCCACAGCAGCAAATCTCTGCTGCGAACCCCAAGGAGTTACCGCGATACCTCTATCGGATACAGATGAAAAGGTACAATTAACATATTTAAGCACCTGTAAAGTAACCACTCCCACAAGCCAGGGGCGCGGAGCCCGGAGACCGACAGGGCTGGCCCAGGGGGCGGGAGAGAAGAGGCAGAGGGAGGAGGGAACAAGTAGACGAGAGCAAGGGATTGTCACTGACCGTGTCGAGGAGAGAGGGAGGCTCCGGCTGCGTGTCCTTGGGCGCGGCGCCGGGCGGCGGCGGGAAGTTGGGGCTGAAAACCATCAGGTCGCTCTTGGCCGCGCCGTCCGCCACGCACAGGCTCCGGCTGTGGCGCTGTGAGTACGACCAGCTGCCCACTTCGCTGGCGCACACCAGCGTCGTGGGCCCGGGCCCCGACAGCACGGCCGCCCGCGGCGCCCAGCGCGACGCCCCGTACAGCACCACGGCCAGCAGGAACAGGCTCGACACGCCGCAGATCGCCACCACCAGCCACACGTTCGTCGCCGCCGCCGCCGCCGGCCCAGAGCCGCTCTCGCCGCCCGCCAACGAGCGCGGCAGCAGCGACGACGAGCCCGCCGCCGCCGCCAGCGCCGCCTCGCCGCCCTCCACCAGCGACACGCTCAGCGTCGCCGTGGCCGAGCGCGCCGGCTCGCCGTGGTCCCGCACCACGATCACCAGCCTCTGCCGCGGCCCGTCCGCCTCCTCCAGCGCCCGCGCCGTGCTCACCTCGCCGCTGTACAGCCCCACGCGGAACAAGGCGCTCTTGCCCCGCGGCTCCCACAGCTCGTAGCGCAGCCATGCGTTGTAGCCCGAGTCCGCGTCCACCGCCCGGATCTTCGCCACCACCTGACCCGACGGCGAACCCCACGACGCCCACGCCCACAGCGTCCCCGCCTCCCCCGACACGGACCCGGCCTCCGACCCGCCGCCCGCCGCCGGCAGCAGCGCCGGCGCGTTGTCGTTCTCGTCCACCACGAACAGCTGCACCGTCGCGTTGCCGCACAGCGACGGCTCCCCCGCGTCCACCGCACGCACCTCGAACTGCAGCACCTGCACCTCCTCGTAGTCCAGCGGCTGCAGCGCCCGCAACACGCCGCTCTCCGCCTCCACCGACACGTAGCTCGACGCCGCAACACCCCCCACCGACCCCGACCCCGACCCCCACGACCCCGACCCCCCGCCCAACGCGCCCTCCCACAACGAGTAGCTCACGCGCCCGTTGCCCGCCTCGTCCGGGTCCCGCGCCCACAGCCGCGCCAGCTCCGCGCCCGCCAAGTTGTTCTCCCGCGCCAGCACCGTGTACACCGCCTGCGCGAACGACGGCGCGTTGTCGTTCACGTCCGACACCGGCACACGCAGCCCAACGCGGCCGCCCAGCGACGGAGAACCGCCGTCCTCCGCACGCACCTCCACCTCGTACTCCGACACCCGCTCCCGGTCCAGCAGCTCCCGCAGCACCAGCGAGTACGACCCCGACAACGTCGCCTCCAGAACGAACGGACCCGACGGCCACACCCAGCACCGCACACGACCGTTCGACCCCGAGTCCCGGTCCCACACGCTCAGCAGGGCCACCACCGTCCCCAGCGACGCGTCCTCCGACACCGGCACCGACAGCGACGTCACCCGCACCTCCGGCGCGTTGTCGTTCACGTCCAGCACCTCCAGCTCCACGCTGCAGTGACTCGACAGCGGGGGCCAACCTTGGTCTCTCGCTTCTATACGGAAATCAAACATACTGACTTCTTCAAAGTCCAGAGCACCCGTCAGGTGAATCTCCCCTGTTTTGGTATTGAGGGAAATCACATCTCTTCCATTCGGCGGAATGAAGCTGGTTGCAGTGTAGGTCACTTCACTGTTAATTCCTTCATCTGCATCTGTGGCGTTCACCTGTGCCACCAGCGTCCCCACTGCAGCGCTCTCCGGTAGTTGCACTTTATACAACGACAGGTGGAACTGGGGCGCGTTGTCGTTCGCATCCAGCACCGAGATCACCAGCTCCATCGTCCCTGTCAGAGACGGCCGGCCCCCGTCACTCGCCGTCAGCAACAACCGGTGCACGGCCATCGTCTCGCGATCCAGCGGTTTCCTTAAAACAAGTTCGGGAACAATATTTCGCTCATTTGATTTTTGTATATCCAAAGAGAAATGTTCGTTGGGACTCAGTGTGTAGGAGAGCTGCGCGTTCGCTCCGATATCCGCATCTGACGCGCCCTCCAGTGGGAAACGGGAACCCACCAGAGACGATTCGGCAATACTGATGTTTTTTCGGGCGGCGGGGAAGGTGGGGGCATTGTCATTAATGTCGGTGACCTCCAGCTCCACGTGGAAGACGCGCAGCGGCCGCTCCAGCAGCACCTCCAGCCGCAGCGCGCACGGCGCGCTCTTGCCGCACAGCTCCTCCCGGTCCAGCCGCGAGCTCACCACCAGCGCCCCGCTCGCCCCGCTCACCTCCACGCTCGCCCGCCGGCCCCCAGGCACCAGCCGCAGCCGCCGCGCCTCCGCCTCGCCCGCCTCCAGACCCAGGTCCTGTGCCACACGGCCCACCACCGTCCCGGCCTTCGCTTCCTCCGGCACCGAGTACCGCACCTGCCCCCAGCACAGCGCCCACGCCGCCTGCACCGCCACCACCCGCAACACCGCACCCCACAAACACTCGCCCATCGCCGCCGCACACGCCCAGTCCTTCCGACCCCGCACGGGCCCCGCACGGCTCCCGCCGCCGCCCGCACGCACCGGCTCCGCTGCCCGGCCCCAGCCGCCCCCCCGCGCTCACAGCCGGGCTCTCCGCCGCACCGCCAAGGAGCCGCCCACACGCCCTTCCTCAGCCTGCAGCGACACCGTGCGCTGCTCCGCCGCCTCACACGCTCCCACACAGCGCCAGCGCCGTCATCTCTGCCATCTCTTCTGACCGAGCTTCTCTTTTTCTTATTTGTCTTCCTTCCTTTTATTTCTCTTCCGGTTTTAAGACGTTTTTTCCTCTTCCTTTCCTACTGTTCCCTTTATACTATGTTCTCAGTTTTCTCTTCCTTGCCCTTCTGTTCTTTCTCCTTTTCATTGCTCTGCCGTGCCATATTCGTTAAACCGTTTTCCCTTCTCTTTCCAACCTTCTCTCTTCTCTATCCCCCCTGCCAGCTCCCCAGTCGCCTCCGGCGCCGCGGCGGAGCCCATCGAAGTCGGAGCCATCCGCGCTAATTCCCGGGCAGCAGCACCAGAGTGCGGTGCTGTAACCGAGGCAGAGGCTGCTGGGGACCAACTTCGCTCAGCGTCCAGAGACAAGGTCGGTATCCGATGCTCATCTACTTTATCCTGTTTTCTTTTCTTGCATTCTCTTCTTCCTTCCTTCCCTCCTTAAATCCATACTGGCTTGCTTTTTATTTATGTCATCTCCTTTCTTTATCCTTCTTCACTTTCTTGTGCTGTTGTCTCTCTTCCTTCTCTTCTTTGTTTATCTTTCAGTGGATACTTTGCCTGTGTCTTCTTTCCTCCTACCTGCTTTTAACTGTCCTATTTTTTTCACCTGTTCTTCTATTTCTTTTTTTGTCTCTTATGTCCTTTTTTGTTTTACCACAATTCCTTTCAAATGTCTATGCCACACTCACAATGGACATATCCTTCCTGAACAGCTCTCATTCCTCTTCCTTGCAATGATTCCTTCCTTTGTTTCTTTTTTCTCTCCTTCTTTCTCTGTTCTTCCTTTATCTTCTCCCTTACTCTCTTTCCCTGTTTCTTTCTTGCCTCGCTGGGCCATTTCCTTTCTTCCCCTTCCCTTCTGATTCCATCTTTGTATATTCCAACCATTTTTCTTCCTTAAGAAAATTCTTTAAAAACAGCTACACCACTGTCCCAACAAAGCACAGACATGCCCTTTCACAAAAGCTCTCACTCCTCTCCCTTTCCTCCTCCCACCCATCTGGACAGGGCATTACCTTTCTGCTCACCTCCCATCCCTGCACCTGCAACTGCCCCTCCCTTCAGGATGAAAGACAAACATTGAGCCTTCAGTCATCAGGTAGCTCAAGGACTCAGCAATAACACAGCGAGGCAGTCAGATGGCAAAGAACAGCTCTGCCACATCAGAAAAGAGTCCACCCACTAAGATGTCTAATAAAAACAGGTTCCAAGGAGTAAAAGCCCAAGGAAGTCTGTCCTTTGGGAACTGAAAACACATCCCAGCCAAGCACAATGACCCTTCAAAAGAAGACTGGAAAAGCACAGGCCAACCACAGCTCCCAACCACTTCTCATACACTTCTGTGAAGAGCTCTTGAACTATTTTTCCTGACCCATGTCCCACCTGCACAGCCAAACAAACCCACCAAGGTGACACCAGGGCATTGTCACTGAGAACATCTGCTGCAGGCCCATCACAGCTACACCAAGAAACACATTAAAATTAGTTCTCAATCCATCCTTGCTTCCACCTGCTTACCCTGTGCCAGGCAACAGCAGGAAAGGAATGAGAGCAGGTAGTGCTGCTCCAAACCTACAGGCATTTCAATCCAGGTGACAGGCAGGCCATCCAACACAAAGATACCAAAGCTGAACAGGAACCAAGGTACACCTGTCTCTCACACAGAGCCTCTTCAATTATCAGTGACTTACCTGCAGCATCACTGGTGGCTTCTTCACAAACAGAAACTCCAGCACCAAGATTATTGATTTTCAGGGACATTGTCCTTTAATGCTACCAGCTAAGTCCATTTACAAACAAGACCAAGACCTCAGAGATGACTGAGGCAATGGCCTGAGAAGAATGGCTGAATGAGACACATTTCAAAAACCTGCAGTTTGGCCAACAACATTCATATCAAAGACAAACAATTAAAGGGATTAATAACTTCACAGGCAACAGTAACACAGAGGACAGAGCACCAGGATATACAGAACTACTGAAGCTCCTTAAAGGGTGCTAGGAGAGAAGTCTGGCGTGACTGGCCTTTACTCAAGGTTTTCTACTGGTATTCTCTAGCCAGTGCCATGGGAAATGGCAACTCCACAGCTAATCTGACATTAGCCATTTCCTCACCAATTACACTGACCACATTCTACACAGCATCTCCATTTCCCCCAGGCAACACTCTTCCCCACCCAAACTCACCCTCCCCATCACACAGGCCCAGGCTCTACTTAGTCCCACATGCAGAATCACTGCCAAAATATCAAACATTGCTCAACATGCCTCATCTGTAACCCCCCCTCTGCAGGTGATCCAGGCCTTTCACATCCTCACCTTCCCTCCAGAGCAACACAAAGAACCCATGGAGTTCTGCAAGGCCACACAGCACTTGGCAAGCTCTTCCCAGCTGCGTGAACTTCACCATAAATGCTTTGCTCCTTTTCAGCAATCTCACATGGAAACACATCAGAGCTGTGTGTTAGAGTTCATAAAGACTCTGGGATTAGAGCTGTGACAGCTCTGACCCCAGTCCACACACATTTAGATCACCAAGAGAACCACAGCAAATGCCAAAGCACAAGAGCACTCAAAAGGTCATCTGAGGGGGAGAATTTGGACCACATGAAGCCAGAGCTGGGCTGCACTGCAGGGCTTGGCCTGCAGATACAAGAATGAGCCCTGTGTGACAACAGGACACACCATCTCTACTGAGGCCACCTCTGCAGTGCACAAGTAGGCCAAGTTGAGCACATACAGATTATACCCACCTCATCACAGGTCCTTACAAATCCCTCCTGAGGAGGAGCAAGAAACCATCATGACAACATCAGCAGTTGTGCAAGCCACTCTGGATACCCACCACTACACAGGGACAGCAAGTTTAACCATTCCCATCCCACAACACTGTTTTCAAAACAAGTGGTGCATCAGACAACATTCAGCACTCTGCATCTCACCCCCTCTGACCAACACAAGGCCTACATCAGGCAGGCAGCAGCACAAGAGACTGTCTCTGATAGGAGAGCTTCAGAACCTCAAAGGACATTGTCAGAATGTAAGCATCACACACTGTCTCATGGTCAGGAAGGCTGTCACCTCCAGACTACTCTAGACCCTGGGAGTGGATCTTCAGCAAGAAAACTCTGTGCTCATATTGCCTCATGTTTTCCTCTAGGCATCCTTCCCCTCCCTCTCCAAGATGTGTTCTCAAGACAAACATGTCATCTCTCATTTCTGTCTTACAACATGGCCCATGCGCTTCCCAAGGATTTCCCGTTTTCCCACACAAGATCACTCCTCTTCCCACTGCTCAAGATCACCTTCCACATCAGGAAATGGCCAGGCCCTGCTCACTACTACAGGCCACAGTTTTCTTACCCACCTCAACACCCACCCAACTCACTCCTCCCCACCAATAACAGCACCTTCAAAACACACAGGTGCTGTCACATGCACAGGGCACAGCAGACCCTCTGCAGCTGACCTGTCACGTTTGGGATTCCTTCAGCTATCTCAGGTGGAAAGGTGGCAGACCTGGGAGCAATACTCTTCCCAAAGCTGATGTCATGACAGCTCTAAATGGCAATGCCTTTGATGTCATGCTCTGAGAGAAAAACTAAAACGTTGGTGAGAGCATCAGTGTAACACATGATGCTGACCACGTAAAAGCATGGTATTTGACATTTGGCAGTGAGTGCTTGTACTCTGGTTTCAGGGAATTTGAATATGTTAGTTTGTTCATTGCACAAAAGAAAATTTCCACAGCTTTTAAATGATGTGGCTGTTAACACAAATTTGAAAGAATATAAAAAACCGGAGTGTACAAGACATTACTTCCCAGGAACACATGCCCACAACAAGCACAACAGTGGCAAGAAGAAAACAAAATTTCCACTTCTAACATACCTGCCTGAATACTTTATACTTAACTAAGCCTTTATACTTGAAAAAAGATCATACAAACAGGAAAATGTTACTCACACCTCCCCCTCTTTCCTAAGGAGTCTGGTGGTAGAACGAAAATGGAGAACTTTTGTCCTTGAAGCCCTGAAGGTCACCTTGCTTCACCTCAATTTGTGAGCAGAAACAAAGAGGAGGAAGGCAGGTTTCCATAAGACACCAGACTAATATCAACACAGTTGGCACTCAGCAAAAGCAATAAGGCAGCACAAACTTCCTGGGGAACTGCAAACATCACAACCTGTAGTTCTTCCCCTCCTTCACCAAGCTCGGGAGGAAATGCTATACGCTAGCAAGCAAGAGAATTGCCTGAAAAGCTGACACCTCGGAGCAACTCTCACGCAATGGGCAAAACACAGGCAATTTAATTCTAGGGCAGAACAACTCCCACCGTGAGTAGCAAATCTCACCTGTGGGCCAGAATTGTTTTAGAGTGCCGCAAGACATTTATTTCAGCATAACCTCAGCAAGAGAGAAGGGGCTGGGGGAGGTCGTGGCGGCCGATGCAAAGGGGACACTGACATCCTTAATCCCCTGCAAAGCACCCACCGCCCTGCGACTGCAGGAGCTGAGCCCGGCTCCGAGCACTGCCTGCCCAGGGGGCGGGAGAGAAGGAACAGAGAAAGGGAGGAAGGGCCACTGACCGTGTCGAGGAGAGAGGGCGGCTCCGGCTGCGTGTCCTTGGCCGCGGCGCCGGGCGGCGGCGGGAAGTTGGGGCTGAAAACCATCAGGTCGCTCTTGGCCGCGCCGTCCGCCACGCACAGGCTCCGGCTGTGGCGCTGCGAGTACGACCAGCTGCCCACTTCGCTGGCGCACACCAGCGTCGTGGGCCCGGGCCCCGACAGCACGGCCGCCCGCGGCGCCCAGCGCGACGCCCCGTACAGCACCACGGCCAGCAGGAACAGGCTCGACACGCCGCAGATCGCCACCACCAGCCACACGTTCGTCGCCGCCGCCGCCGGCCCAGAGCCGCTCTCGCCGCCCGCCAACGAGCGCGGCAGCAGCGACGACGAGCCCGCCGCCGCCGCCAGCGCCGCCTCGCCGCCCTCCACCAGCGACACGCTCAGCGTCGCCGTGGCCGAGCGCGCCGGCTCGCCGTGGTCCCGCACCACGATCACCAGCCTCTGCCGCGGCCCGTCCGCCTCCTCCAGCGCCCGCGCCGTGCTCACCTCGCCGCTGTACAGCCCCACGCGGAACAAGGCGCTCTTGCCCCGCGGCTCCCACAGCTCGTAGCGCAGCCACGCGTTGTAGCCCGAGTCCGCGTCCACCGCCCGGATCTTCGCCACCACCTGACCCGACGGCGAACCCCACGACGCCCACGCCCACAGCGTCCCCGCCTCCCCCGACACGGACCCGGCCTCCGACCCGCCGCCCGCCGCCGGCAGCAGCGCCGGCGCGTTGTCGTTCTCGTCCACCACGAACAGCTGCACCGTCGCGTTGCCGCACAGCGACGGCTCCCCCGCGTCCACCGCACGCACCTCGAACTGCAGCACCTGCACCTCCTCGTAGTCCAGCGGCTGCAGCGCCCGCAACACGCCGCTCTCCGCCTCCACCGACACGTAGCTCGACGCCGCAACACCCCCCACCGACCCCGACCCCGACCCCCACGACCCCGACCCCCCGCCCAACGCGCCCTCCCACAACGAGTAGCTCACGCGCCCGTTGCCCGCCTCGTCCGGGTCCCGCGCCCACAGCCGCGCCAGCTCCGCGCCCGCCAAGTTGTTCTCCCGCGCCAG